GAGTAAGTAGTTCTAAGATCAGTTTGAATGGGGGTGAGTTTTGCGTGATGAATACTCACAAGCTGGGGAACCTTGACTAGTCACTTTAAATGAACCTCTGGCTTCTACTGTGTTAAATGCAGTTAATATCCACATTACCAAATGGTTGTCAAGGGGATTACACGAGACCCTATATATTGACAGGTCATTGAAAATAGGAGCAACTGTTGTATATAAACAATGCATTAGCATCCTACATTAGACCTGGTGGGAAACTTCCCAGGATATAGATATGTCAGGGGGACTTATCTAAGAAGAGGCTTTTCCTGGAAACTGGGAAGAGTCTCATTTCTCTGTTTTAGTTCTGGCCATCTGCGAACACCACAGATATCTCGCTCCACCCCTGAGCTTCCCAGAAGATCCTGGGGAAAAGTAGAATAAACCATCATCCTTGGTACAATGATCTTGGGATTGGCTAAGGCCCTCCCCTTTGAAAGTCTCCTAAAAATGATACTTTAAATCTACTGCCCCTTCTGTCCTCAGTCAAGGGGAGAAATTTAGTACTTAGAAAAGGCAAATTGGAAACTTAATTAGGTAAGAGGCACTTTCATCAATGAATATGGTGGCACTCTCAACAGTGAATATAGGTGGTTTTTAACAAAACTGAGGGCAGCAAGTAGGTAAATGTTCTTAGTAAATAAGCTTGTAAGTATTAGAGCCATTATTTATGGTAGTAAATAATACGAATGATCATGTGGACCATATGGAGCTTCCAGAAATAATTCTTCTGGTGATGAGAAAGGCTTGATTTTGGGTAAATTAGGAGAGAATCAGCTGCATCCCATAATGTAAGACCTCCCCAGGATTTATCTCCCTAATCTCCATTCTAGGACCCTCAGAAGGTAGTCAGGGAATATTCAGACCAGAGGCAGTCCTCTTGCTCTGCAGGGCATAATTGAAATTCACCTTTGGAAGCTGATGAAGCTGAGAACTGGCAAGATGGAAAATGGATGTCTGAGAACTGAGTGTACTGAATTTGATGAAAAAAGATTGCAGACCCCATGGAAAAGAGAAAAAGTGGGGACAGTAGAAAAAGAGGTTAAATTATGAGAGAGCCAAGAAACAGAGAAAGGGCAAAGTTTATCGAGGGAGATGTTTTAATAATTACATTCTCCAAATTCAGGATTAGGGACTTCCCTTAGTCCTAATAGACAGGGCTCATACCCTAGCCCAGAGGCACAATATCTTCTCTTCCTCCTAACTCTGTAGCTTAGAACAATTACCTGGCCCCTTTCAGTACGCAAGCATTTTATTAGAGTTAGTGTTTAGTCATTCTGGAGACAGGCAGGTGAGGCAGTGTCAGAACAAACTATTGTATCTCTGATGGGCAGGATAAGACACTACATGTGAGCCTTGAAGGCAGCAAGGAGCATTGACTTGCAGGCAACACCATGATGAATACAACAGTAAGGTCACTACACTCACTTTGGGGGATGGATAAGAAATATGTCTACCTCTAAGGAGACAGAACCAGAATATGATATGGCTTTTGGCTAGATTCAAAAAGCAGCTTTTAAGCTCCCATGAGTGCCCAGGGCAGGTACTGGATTTGTAGCTGCAAGGAAAAGGAATGGGGTCAGGAATGGGCTCTCAAGTCTTATCAAAAGGACAGGTGACATGAAGAACTGTCCCATGTATAAAGACACTCTAAGTGTCCCTGATTACATGATCAAACTTGTCTTCCAGAAAGGACATGGAAGGTCACAGGCAGCCCATGAGATGCCTGACAACAGAACAGCAGGGCTGGCAGGCCAAGACTAGGTTGGGATCAGCTTTTCCCCATCAGGAAAATTCCCTTTATTTTGCAATTAGTGAAATGCACACACGCAGGAAAGAAGACTCTGCCTAGAAGTGTCTTTTTACTTCTTTTATTGAACTCCATAAATATTTTCATAAGGCTTTGTGTCATTACAACATCATAGTTTTGTTGTTAAACATTTTTTTAAACACACAACTTTGACACTTGTTTGACAGGGTCAAACAATCAGAAGAAACAAAATAATAACTGGCAAATGCAGAGCAGCAGGGGTAATCAAAATCACTGTTACCCATCCATCCACCCCAGCCCACCCCAGCCCCAAAGCACTAAAAGATCACTATTCGGCTTCACACTAGAATTTTTAGAACTCTCTTGCTGTCCTTGGTAAATCCATTAGAGTTATACACATAGAGAGAAGAGGAAAGAGGGAGAGAAAAAGAGGAGTTAGATTTCTGTGTTAGGACCATCCTACAGCAGGGCCCATAAAACACACTAGCAAAGCCTTTTGGAGAGCAAATCCAGGCCTCATTGAGTTGAGAAAAGGGGAGCTTGGGTGCCATGCACACATAGAGGAGATTACAGAGTTCTTGGGGAATAGCACTGCTGTGGGGACACAGAATAGACCTGGACCCTGATTCCAGATAACAGGACTCCCCTTGGGGCTGTTAGTCACTGGTCTGCTTTGCTGCCATAGCCTGGGGGAACACTCCAACCAATGGTAAATTGATTTCTGGTTGTTTTCACAAGTTATTGGCATCTGGTGAGGCCAGCGGTTTGGGTAGATGAGAGGTGGATGGCAAGAGGTAATATTCCTGATCCTGGAGCCTTGGACACAGGTTCAGGGAAAAAGGGCATGGAGGGAGGGCAAGGATACTTGGCTAAGAGATGTTGTAGGCCCAGGGACTTGATTAAGCATTCCCTCTTGGTTTGCTCCTAGCCCCTGGAGAAACACATCAAGGTTAAGCCTAGTGGAGAAGAATGGAAAGTAGGAAAAGAATGTATACTTAAGGGAGGCCTACACATCCACTGAAATAATGCTCTTTGCCAGGGAAGCCATTGTAGCTTAGGCACTGGATACCAGTTTCCTTGCCAAGGCAGGACTTCAGTAGCTGGATCATTTGCTGAGCAGTTGTGGCCAGTCCCGAGCCCCAGCCCTCTGCCCAGCTCAGGCTTACCCTTGGCTTACCCCACAAGTCCAACTTGAATGTGGCAGAATGAAAGCAAACAGCTTGTAATTTTATTCCCACAGAGGAATAATTCCCAGGCTGGGCAGGGCCTGGTCTGTGTCAGGAGGCATAGAGCAGCAATCAGTTCAGCCGTACTTAGGGCCTCATGCAGCCATGGCTGCTGCTTAGTAAGCTGAGGTCCTTTCATGATGAAGTTTTCTCCTAGGGTCCAGAACAAACTCACAATTTCTAGATTCCTCATTATAGTGGTTCTCCATAGCAGGGCCCATTCTCATTCCTTTGTACTCCATCCTCTGCTGTTCAAGGTCTGTCAACCTGAAGGGCTATGTGAGGAGGAGGAATAGGTACTCCTGCACCCAACAGGGAGCCTGCCTCTTAGTGGGAGAAATTAATTTTGCCTAAGTAATAAAGACTGCCAAAAATCAGCCTGAGGGTAATATCTCTACCTCAGATATTTTCTCCATAGAGAAGTCTCCCTGAGCTCCACACTTACTTGTTTCCAATGTCCTGGGATGGGTCAATGTTGGAAATAGGGCCTTCTTAGAATGAGGCTAATTCTTTAACTATTCTAATAGCAGCAGTTTTCCTGTGCCAGGAGAAAAGGAAAAAGATGGACAACAGGGAGAGGAGAAGAAAGGAATCATGAAAGACTGTCCATGCAATCTGTTAACAATGGGGGAAGTCTCACATAACTTGAGTGGTAGGAACTGCATATTTTGGGCTAGGGCTGCCTCTTTCCATGACCATTCCTGTTCTTTCCTTTAAGAGGTTATGGTCAGCCTTGGATCCTGTCCAGGTCAATAATTTGAAGGCAGCCGATGATCTTGGTCAGATGGGCTCTGTCTTGACCCTTCATAGGCTCCCATAAATGCTGCCTGTAATCTGAAAATGGAAGCAGGGATGACCAGGCCCCTGAAATTATTCCAGTGGGGAACCCCAACTTTAAGCTTACTTGGTACTAGAGGCAGTTGAATTCCTCCCCTGGGGCAGCAGAGTCTCAGTCCCTTTGCTTCAAGTTCAGATCTTTTAGGTTAGGGGAGGGAGAGGCCTAAAAGGAACACCATAACCAAAGCAGCTTGAAGAAGAGAATAACTGGCTCAAGTTAAACCCCAGATGCAAAATTGCTCATGACCCAGCAGTGCTATAACATGGGATCCCCCAATTCTAGGAGAAGAGCCCAAATGCAGAATGTTCCCTGAACAGAAGTCCTCTCCAGAATTATTATACTGACTCTCCCTTGATTCTGTTTGGTTTTGATCCCTCTACAACATCTAAAACACAGTGAAAGCAATAGAAATATCGAGCAGTTATGTCACAGGGCACAACAGAGCATGTCTAGACTGGCATGACTGAGGACAGAAGATGCAGGGAAAAAGCTGTCTGGGGCAACTGCAGGGCTGTAGAAACATTCACAGATGGTCAGCTGAGGGAGATGAGAAAGGTGAATCTTCCCTTTACCCATTGAAAAGTAAAAGGGAAAAAAAAATTACGTGCTCCCAAACTCTATCACATCAAAGTAAATTCAAAAGTTATCAGCATCAGTATCATCAGGAAAGAAAAAAAATACAAACACATCTATGGTAATAATGACAAGTTAATGAATCACTCACAGGGGAGCAAAGAGTTTATCTCAACAAGAAAAGGAACACACAGAAATGTCAATTTCTGAAAATAAAGGGGAGGGAGACAGGGTAAAAACAGAAAACTTCTAAGAAGGGATCACATATTTAAAAGTCATTGGTACCTCTTCCTACCAACTATAGATTTCACTTCCCCAAAACAACAGAAAACTTTTTTTTGGTCCTTCTGTGTGTGTGTGTGTGTGTGTGTGTGTGTGTGTGTGTGTGTACTCAAGGGTCTCTGTGTGTGTATATGTGTCTCTCTATATATAAATATATATATCTGTATATATATTTATATATATATAAATTTCAACAGTGCTTCTCCAAAAAAAGTCCATCTATAAATATAATTGTATTTACTTTATTTTAAAATTATCTGCCTCCCTGTAGTTATTATTTTTTGAAGGGGGTTAACCTGCTGAAGTTTTGCCAGAATGGTGACTGGCTGCGCTTGGGTTCGGTGAACTCAAAGACCTGTGACTGAGCGATGCCATCGGGGACCAGGTACTGGCCCTGGTTTAACGGGTCCTGCGGTGGTGGGTAGGAAGGAGGAACTGAGCGGGCAGAGTTGACACCTAGAGTAGATGGGAGAGCAAAGGGAAAGAGTATAAGTTAAGTAGCAAGGAGCTTCTCAAATTATCCAGTGACCACTTTGAGCAGACAGTTAAAGGCAGCCTATATTAGAGAGTGTGAACAGGAACTGAAAATCATCCAAAGGAAGAAGTGCATTCCTTAACAGATTTTGGAACAACACACACTTTCTTTCCTGTTTACTCAGGTATCACTGAGAATCTTGTGGTGTTGTCACCAGTAGTTTTACAGATGAGGATACTGAGACCTGGGGTGAAATGTCATACCCAAGGTCATAAAGCAAGTGATAGAATCCATATTCTTTCTCAGTTCAGAGCTCTTTCTTTTTTTTAAAGATTTATTTATTTATTTGAGAGAGAGAGAAAGCTAGAGCAGGGGCAAGGGGAAGGGCAGAAGGAAAGGGAGAGGAGAGAGAAACTTAAGCAGACTCCAAGCAGGGCAGGGAGTCCAATGCAGGTTTCAATCCCATGGCCATGAGATCACAACCTGAGCCAAAACCAAGAGTTGGATGCTCAACTGACTGCACCACCCAGGCTCCCCAAGAGCTCTTTTCAAGACACCATGATCCATTATGCCAGACATGGTCCTGCAAATCACCCAACAATTTCCATTTAATTTCAAAGGAATTTGGTTTTCTCCCCCTTCAACTATCCCTGTGTCAAAAGAGCCTGACTTCAAAGCATGTCTTTGGTTGGAAAATGGGTTTCTAAAAGCTAAGGTAAAAGTGGTCCAGTATTCTACACCAGGGTAGAGTGATGAAGCAATATCTAATATGAAAGTAACATTGGTAAATGAGGGAGAAAGCAAAGAAGACGTGATTCATGGAACACAAGTAAGACTTGGAATAGATCTGTGACCTTTCAAAGGGAAAAATTCAAAGACTGCAACTTTCATAGAAGTATTTACAAACTTCAAAATTCACATGAATAGGGGATTCCAGGGTGTGTGTGTGTCGGGAGGGGTAAATCTAAAGTTCAATCCTAACCTATATTCAGAACGTAATAGCATACCGCATATGATTCAGAATGGAACAAATACCTCTCTGTTGCTCCCAAATAGCTACCTCATCTGCTAACCAATGTCTGAAATTTCAACATTGCAACTTCTTTCTTTGCCTTTGTTTGATGACTTGATCTCATTACCTTAGAAGTAATATCATACTGAGCCCTTCAATAGGAACCAATGAGTTATTTTCTAAAAGCCAGTATTATTTTGCTATGTTTGGGTTATTTTATTTTCCAGATTTATTGAGATATAATTGATACATAAAATTCTGTAAGCTTCAGGTATGCAATGTGCAATATCTATCTATCATCTATCTATGTATCTATACATTACAAGATGATTACTACAATAAGGTTAGTTAGTATATCCATCATTTCACAAAATTACCTTTATTTGTGTTAAGAGCATTTAAGAACTATGCTCTTAGCTATTCCCAAGTTAAAATATTAACTATATTTACCATATGCTGTATATTATACCCCAATAATTCTTCATCTTATAACTAAAGTTTGTGCCCTTTGACCAACATCTTGATACTTACCCCATCTTCAGCCCCTGGAAACCACCAATCTACTTTCTATTTCTATAACTTTGTTTTTAGATTCCAATATAGGTGATATCATATAGTATTTATATTTTCCATTGCTTGTGCCTTTGGTGTCATATTCAAAAACTTGTTACTAAAACCATGTCAGGGAGTATTTTCCCTATATTTTCTTCTAGTATTTTTTATGGGGTTCAGCCTTACACTTAAGTCTTTAATTCATTTTGAGTTAATTTTTCTGAGCAGTCTATACAGATAGGGGTCTAATACATTCCTTTGCACATGAACATCCAGTTTTCCCCAATACCACTTATAAAAGGATCTACCCTTCCCCACTGAGTATTCCTGGTCTCCTGATAAATATTAACTGACTCTGGGTTCCCGGTTCATACTTGGGATCTTGATCCTCTCCCATTAATCTGTATGTCAGGTTTTATGCCAGCACCATATTGCTTTGATTACTATAACGTTGGAATGAAGTTTGAAATCAGAAAGCGTGACACCACCAGTTTCGTTCTTTCTCAGGATTGCTTTGGTTATTTGGGGTCTTTTTTGGTTCCATATAAATTTTATAATTTATCTACTTCTGTGAAAAATATTGTAGAATTTGAGATAGGGATTACAATAAATCTACAGATGACCTTGGGTAGAAAGGGCATTTTCACAATATTAATTCTTAAAATCCATGAATATTAAATATCATTCCATTTGTGTTTTCTTAATTTTTTTATAAATATGCAATAGTTTATAGTATACAGATTTTTTTTAAAGATTTTATTTATTTGACAGACAGAGATCACAAGTAGGCAGAGAGGCAGGCAGAGAGAGCGGAGGAAGCAGGCTCCCTGCTGAGCAGAGAGCCCGATGCGGGGCTCGACCCCAGGACTCTGGGATCATGACCTGAACTAAAGGCAGAGGCTTTAACCCACTGAGCCACCCAGGCGCCCCTAGTATACAGATTTTTAACCTCCTAGGTTAAATGTATTCCTAAGTACTTTATCCTATTTTGTGTTATTGCAAATGGGATTGTTACATTAATTTATCTTTTCAATGTTCATTTTTCCTGAAACACAAATGATTCTTGTACTTGTATTTTGCATCCTGAGACATTACTGACTTCCGTTATTATTCTAGTATTCTTTTTTTTTTCCAGATTGGCTTTTTAAAAAATATTATTTCTTAGGAGAGTCTTTAGATTTTTCTTATATAAAATCATGTAAACAGAGACAATTTTAATTCTTCCTCTCTGACTTTCGTGCCCTTTTCTTTCATGATTGCTTTGGGTAGGACTTCCAACAGTATGTTGAATAGAAGTGGTGAGAGTTGGCATCCTTGTCTTGTTCCTGATATTAGAGGAAAAGCATTCAACCATTTACCATTGAGCATGATTGTTAATAGTGGCAAGCTTGTTACATAAGGCATTTATTATGTTGAAGTATGTTCCTTGTATATAAAATTTATTGAGAGTTTTTATCATGAAAATACATTGATATGATTTCACTTATATGTGGAATATAAGGAATAATGCAGAGGACCATAGGGCTAGGGAGGGAAAACTGAATGGGAATAAATCAGAGAAGGAGACAAACCATGAGAGACTCTTGACTCTTGGAAATAAACTGAGTGTTGCAGAAGGGGAGTGGATGGGAGGATGCAGTAACAGGGTGATGGGCATTAAGGAGGGCATATGATGTGATAAGCACTCAATGTTATACACAACTAATGAATCATTGAATACTACATCAAAAACTAATGATGTTCTATATGTTGGCAAACTGAACTTAATAAAAAAAAGAAAATATGTTGAATTTTTTTCAGATGCTTTTATTGCATCTGTAGAGATGTGATTTATCTTATATTCTGTTAATGTGGTGTATCACATTTTTTGACTTGGATATATTGAATGATCCCTGCTTCCTAGAGATGAATCCCACTAGATATTCATGTATGAACCTTTTAATGTGCTGTTGAACTTGGTTTGCTAGTATTTTGTTGAGAATTTTTTGCATCTATATTTATCAGAAATATTGGCTTGTATTGTCTTGTATTGTTTTTATATAACATTCATGTCAGTGTAACCCCAACCTCATAAAATGAGCTTGGAAGTATTCCTTTCAAGTTTTTGGAAGAGTTTCAGAAGGACTGGTGTTAATTCTTCTTTAAATGTTTTATTGAATTCACCAGTGAAATCATCTGGTCCTAGGTTTTTCTTTTTGGGAAGTTTTTGATTACTAATTCAATCTACTTAGTCATTATTGGTTGCTCGGATTTTGTATATCTTTTTTTTCTGTCAGTTTTATTGAGTTAAAATAGACATATTACCTTGTATATGATTAAAGTGTACAACATAATGATTCGATGTTTGATATGTTTAATACTGCAAAATGATAACCATGTTAAAGTTACTTCACATCTATCACCTCACATAGTTACATATTTTTCCTTTGGATTAGAACTTTTAAGATCTGCTCTCTTAGAAACTTTCAAATTTTCAATACAGTATTATTAACTTTAGTGACAGTGCTATATAGAACTTAATTGTTTTGTATCCTTTGACTACCTTTACTCATATCCCCCACCACATACCCCCTTTGACTACATTTACACATATCTCCAACTGCATACCCCCTACATCAAGCAACCACCAATCTGTTCTGTTTCTATGAGTTTGATTTTTATTACATCCCACATATAAATGAGATTATAGAGTATTTGTGTTTCTCTAAATTATTTCACTTAGAATAATATCCTCCAGGTTCATTCATGATGTGGCAAAAGGCAGAATTTCCTCCTTTTATGATGAATAATATTCCGTGTGTGTGTGTGTGTGTGTGTGTGTGTGTGTGTACTTTATTCACATTTATTTTATCTATTTGTTTGCCACATTTAGGTTGTTTCCATGTCTTGGCTATTGTGAATAATGTTGCAATGAACATAGGGAGCAGATTTTTTTTGATACAGTGATTTTATTTCCCTTAGATATATACCGCAAACTGGAATTGCTGGATCATATAGTAGTTCTATTTTTTTTTAAATTTTTGATGAATTCCCATACTGTTTTCCATACTGGCTGTACTAACTTACATCCTACAGTATACAAGGGTTCCTTTCTTTCCATATCCTTGTTAATCCTTATTGTTTGTCTTTTTTTTAGCATCTTAATTTTATTTTATTTTTTCAGTGTTCCAAGATTCATTGTTTATGCACCACACCCAGTGCTCCATGCAAAACACGCCCTCCTTAATACCCATCACGGGGCCAAACCATCCACCCACTCCCTCCCTGCTAAAACCATCAGATTGTTTCTCAGAGTCCACAGTCTTCATTATTCATCTCCCTTCTGATTCCCCCCTTCATTTTTCCCTTCCTTCACCTAATATCCTCCACGCCATTCCTTGTGTTCCACAAGTTAATGAAACCATATGATAATTGACT